AGAGAGGGAGGAATGTTGGTGCTCAGGCTGTGGAATGGGCCTGTCCATATTCAAGATGGGTCTTCCCAACACAATTAACGTCTCTGGACACACTGTCACAGACACACCCAGAAGGAGTGCCTCCTAAGTGGTTGAGTAGACAATAAAGATATTCCTTACAGATGGCAAATACTGTGTATAATAGAACATTGTGTCTACTTGCTGCACCTGGCAGAACATCTGGGTCATCCAATGGGGTAAAGGAATGAATCCATAGAAATGGCATTGTTACCACACTAGACAGGGAGTTAATGATTTAATTTCTTATGTTGTACATTATCAGCTGCATGAAGTCAGGGAAGGTGTTTCTTAGCCTCCACTTCCTTTTCTATAACCAGAGAAGAAGCAAAGCCACCAAGTGAGCACTTCACTGGTAAAGCTCTTTAAGCTTCACAAAGTCCCACCAAAGTTGGGACTTACATGAAAAGAGATAAATGTCTGGGCCTTATCTAGCTGGGGTCAGATAGAGTTTCCTTAACAGAGTTGTCTTTACCAATACCAAGGAGGAAGGCAGAAATATAATTTTCTTTCTTTATCTGTAACTACATTTAACTTGCTTTCAAGCATCTGTTTTTGCTTAGAGGAAAACAAAATAAAACCTGATACAGTGAATGTGAACTCTCCCATTTGAGGAATCCAGTCCCTTCTGGCTTAAAGACAGCAACAAGCTCCTCAGAGTCACTTCCCAGTTCCTCTTCTGAACAAACACACACTTGGAGGGTTCTCTTTGCTGCCCTTGACTACAGTGGAAAGGTGTGAGAATTAGGGAAAAGTACCACATGACCTCACCCATCTGCGGCATGTAACAGAAGATCTTGATGAGATTGTGTGTGTGTGTGTATGTGTGTGTGTATGCGTGTGTGTGTGTGTGTGTGTGGCAGTGGGGGGGTGGTAACCGTGGGGAGGGAGGGAGGGATCTGGAGAGGCTGATCAAAAGGTATGAGGTATAGTTAGAAGACCAAGAAGTTCTGGGTGCAACTGCACAGTAGGGTGATTGTATATAACAATAATGTATTGTACAAGCCAGATGTGATGGCTAACACCTGTAATTCCAGCACATTGGGAAGTCAAGGTGAGAGAATTGCTATAAGTTTGAGGCTGATATGGGGACACAGTGGGTTCCAGGTCAATTTGGGCTACAAAGTGAAACCTTTTCAAAACACAGAATAAAGCAAACAAACAAATGTACATTTTTAAAAGTTAGAAGAAAATATTTTGAAAATTTTTACCATAAAGAACAAATATTTGAATAAGCTTTGATTTCAACATTATACAATGCATACATGTATTAAACATACATTACCCTATTATTATGTATAAGTTTTCTGTTTTTGTGCATCAGTTAAAATAATTTCACTGCAAAAATTAACTCCTGAGGGAAAAAGGATGGAGGCACACAGGGAGACCTCTGGCCTATAAGTCTTATGTCCTCTCTGTGTCCACTATAGGCCCAGAATCCTGTCTTGCTGAACCAGCCCCGTCCTGGATTCTCAAGGGCACTGAGGCTGTTTTATCCAGCTGCCTGTAGCCTCTGCCATAGAGGCCTCTGAGTTTACTGCATAGCATGTGGAAACTTCTAGATCTCCATGGCGAACACCAAGGGGAAAGCCTGTGGGAGGGACGCCAGAGAGAGCATCCACAGGGGAGCTCTTGGGTAGCAGTTTTGTGATTTGTTCTCTGATATATCGATCCAACTTTTGCTTTTGCCACAGGCAGCATCCTGAATGGTACTCTCTGTACATGCATACTCAAAAACTGAATTGAGTAAGTGATTCTCAGGCCATCTCTGCCCAAACACCACAACTCACTGCTCTATGTTACTTGGATTACTAATTTTGTTGTGGATTTGTACTGCATTCTTTTAGGGGTTTGACTTGTATAGGAATGGGCATGGGAGGTCCACTGAGCAGCCCTTTCTCTTGAGTCTAAACCACGTGACTCTTCTCTACCTTCCCTGCACAGGAATATTTTTATGTCCATCCTGTCCAATGGGAAGGAGTCTTACATAATATTCTGCTTTCTCCGCACCTCATGTGTCCTGAGCATTGCCTGTGGTGGTGCGACCTCAGTCAGTCATCCTGTGTAGTGAACAGTGGTGCACCTGCACCTCAGAAATGGCCAGGTTTAGATGATGAAGCACAAGCCACCTTTTTCCTTAAGCACTTTTAGGCAGACCTCCAAGTTCAAATGTCTGTAATTGAAAGTTTATCTCTTGGAGCCCCATGAAAACACTTTTCTCTCTCAAGTCCTTTACTCTTACAGTAAAATGTGGCTTTCGTGAATTGTTCTAGTGTAGACACTGAATATCTGCTTTGAGTAGAGTGTGGTGGTAATCCCAGCACTCAGGTGGCTGAGGCAGGAAGATGGTGGACATCCTGGGATACAACATAGTGTGTCTCTGTCTAAATGAATGAATAACAAAGAAAGAAGCAAATGAATACATAAAATATCTATTTTGAGAGACAAAGATGTAAAATTAATTTTTTATTAGAATAAAAAAGCTTTTTAAAAAATATTTTATTATTTTTATTTTA